CCAAATTCTATACATATATATACTCTGAATTTAGCACTCAGCCTACCATCCATAAATCAAAGTAATTATGAAATTGTGGGTTGGAGCAGAATCTCTTATATTTACAAGGAAAGTAAAATCTATTTCAAAAATTGGCTATGACCCAAATCAGATAATTGACACACTTAGCAGTCAAGCTTAAGATAACCGTAAGACACAAAAACAAATAACCCATAACCAATTAAAATAAGAGAAAATTATAATAAAACTCATTTCTTGCATTGATTTTATATATAGACACTAAAACCTATAAATTGAAGAAAAAAAATCCAAAAAGGACAAGCTGATGTGTGAAATACCATTATTACCCTTGCATTATGATTTTTAGAAGAAAAAAAACTATGATGTTTTGTAACTTTTAGGTTTTTCAAGGCTTGTATGGTATTTTTGATCCCTTTGAAAAGACAAAAATGAGTTTTTTTTTTCCTAAGGTTTGATTATTTGAGGGCTTTTCTATATTTTGGGCCCTACTTATGGCCTTACATGTGAAAGCCCTTAAAATAAAGTGAGTGAGAAAGAGAAAGAGAGAAAAAAACTATGACGGTAGTGTTGTAACTTTTAGGTTTTTCAAGGCTTGTATGGTATTTTTGATAGACAATATGAGTTTTTTCCTAAGGTTTGATTATTCTAAGGCTTTTCTATATTTTGGGCCTTACTTATGGCCTTAAATGTGAAAGCCCTTAAAATAAAATGAGTGAAAGAGAGAAAGAGAGGAAAAACTATGATGGTATTGTTGTAAACTTTTAGGTTTTTAAAGGCTTGTATGGTATTTTTGATCCCTTCGAAAAGAAAAAATGAGTTTTTTTTTTTTTTTCCTAAGGTTTGATTACTCTAGGGCTTTTCTATATTTTGGGCCCTACTTATGGCCTTACATGTGAAAGCACTCAAAATAAAGTGAGTGAGAGAGAAAGTGAGAAATTTATAAGTTACACAAACTTACCCAAATCCTTGTTGCATTTGTCACTCATTGCTGAATTGACTGCTGAGAAGGCAGAAGTCGCCAAATCCTTGTTGGATTCATCAGTCAATCGACCTCTAAGAAGGAAGAAGTCGTTCTTGACATAACCGGTCAGCTTGTTCTTGAAATTTTTAAGTTACACAAACTTACCCAAATCCTTGAGAAGAACCGCTCAGCTCTTTCTTGACATATACGATTGCCAAATCCTTGAGCTTTTGAGAGCAGAGAGAGAAGAGTGAGATTTCGAATCCTCAACAATGAGGCGTATTCAGCAAACTCAACCACAACAACTGCTCGCCAAATCCTTGCATTCAATATCGCTCAGCTCGTTCTCCCCAAACCCTTGTGATCATTAAGTCTTTAGGGAAAGTGAGATTTCGAGAGCAGAGAGACGAATAATGAGTTTTGATACTTACGAGAGAGAGCGCGAGAGGGTTTAGACTGGTCAAATTTTTTGAGGGAAAGTGTGAATTTTTTTGGGGTGAGTTGAACTGGGTAAAAGGCATCAGTCCTTAAAACTTTTACTTAAAAAAACCTAAAATATATATGGCATCAGTTTAAATATCGACTGATGCTACTTCGTTGGCAAGGATTTCCAAGCATTAGTAGCGATGTCTTTATAAACCTATGGTCTTCCTATTACTTATGGAACTGATGCTTTAGAAACTAACAACATCGGTTTCTTAGTTTACCGATGCCTAAAGTGAATTTTGACATAGTGAAATCTCGTAAATTAACTCATTTAACAATGTTAATACATAGAATTAAGGGAACTCAATATGAAGTTTATTATTGTGGTAGATACTAACCCAATTTCACCTAATCTAGATAAGGTCAATGACTAAAATATAGCATCTAATTTTACAATAATGTAATAAAAAAACCTCAAAATTACACACATTGCTTGTATTTTGTATTTTTATGTCACTTGTATATTGATTTTGTTTAGGCTTTTATAATAGAAAGTGCAATGCAATGTGTATTTTTAAGTTATTTATAAGATCCCATATTGACCAGCGGAGAGGGGGTGATGTGCCTTATATGTACATGCCGGCCTCTATCTAGCACGAGGCCGAGAGCTCACTGGCTTCGAAGTCATGGAAACTCCGAAGTTAAGCGAGTTGGGTGACCCACTAGGAAGTTGCTCGTGAGTTCCTAGAAACAAAACCGTAAGGGCAGAGAGTGGGGTTCAAAGCGGACAATATCGTGCTACGGCGGAGCTGATCCTGTGATGTGACAATTTGGTATTAGAGCCACTCTGCCGTGTGGTGCAAATATGCCGACGAGGACGTCGGGCCCCTAAGGGGGTGGATTGTAAGATCCCACATCGACCAACGGAGAAGGGGTGATGTGCCTTATATGTACATGCCCGCCTCCATCTAGCACGAGGCCTTTTGGGAGCTCACTGGCTTCTAAGTCATGGGAACTCCGAAGTTAAGCAAGTTGGGGCTAGAGCAATCCTAGGATGGGTGACCCACTGGAAAGTTGCTCGTGAGTTCCCATAAACAAAACTGTAAGGGCAGAGAGGGGGGCCTAAAGCGGACAATATCGTGCTACGGCAGAGCCGATCCCGGGATGTGACATTATTAATGGTATACTTAGGCTTTTACAATATAACTACAATGCATTGTGCATTTTTTTTAATCTTCTTCTTTTAAAAAAATCTTTTTTAATTAAATGAAATGAAAATGGTGTCACATGACAACTGGTGGTGGGTGGTGTCACATGCCTATAGCACATGGGCTTACTCATTGACCTTTAACGAAACAAAATTTAAAACTAATTCACCTAGTCCAAAACAAAAATAGGCCATTTACCATATACTAATTATTAAATTTCTTTATCACTATACACTAATTTTTCTTAGAATTAACATTTGAGACTCCAAATTCAAGACAACTACCATGCAATCACTGGAGGATCCATAGAGGCACAAGGAGGTACAACTCCACCTCCACTTGCCAGAAACTTCCTTGGAGATGCTGGAATTTACCCCTTTGCTAGTGCCCACAAATTGTTCGACTAAATGCCTCAAAGAGGTTGTTTTGTTGGCAGTTTGTGTGAGACCCTTAATATTTATCTTAGATTGTTGGAGTCGATCTCACGAGCATGTAGGAGAAAACGGTTCATCAATCAGAGCTCCAGAACTAAAGTTATGAAGTTTAGAATTTTTTAAGAATTGATGTTGCAGAGGAAGTTCGACGAAGAAGAAAGACTCGGATCAATCCAGCGCTTCTCATTTTGATTCCTTTTTTTGATGGTCCAATAGCAAGCCCCACGTGTCAATTTCTATTTGGACCAACTTAAAAAATTCATTAAAAACTCATATGTGCACCGAAAAATTCACCGAAAATTATACCAATCTGACGTAGAACGTTTAGCAGAGGAATTTGAAGCACAGCTTGATAGGCGCAAGGTGAAGATGAATGGGCCATGAGTATTACATGCCATGATTTAAATAGCATTCAATATGTATAATTAATCATGCAAATTACAAGTAGAATAAATAGGCAATGTAAGCGTTGCCTTCGGGATGAATCATGTATTCCAGAATAATCAATATAGTGTGTGAGAATTCTCTCACTTTTCTAGTGGATTCTAGATGAATCTTTAAGGGTGAACGTGAGGATCCCTCTGTGTATCTTCCTGCTGCGTCAATTGGCATCATAGCAGGTTTGCCTTGGCTCGATGGCGAATGACCCGAACAATGATAGGACCCATCCTGGTGGGGAACCAGTTTCCAGGAGAGAGTTTGACGCTCTTGCTGCGAGAGTTGAAGAGATTCGGCAATTGCTTCTCAACATGGGAAACAAAAACAACAACAATAATATACAAAACGATCGAGATAACCGACGTGGTGGTGGCAGAGGCAACCGTGATGGTCATCATCAACGGGAGGCTAGTGAATCGGATTCTGAGGAGGAGATAGAGAACCCACATGCTGCTAATCCAATTAACCGACAACCCATTGAAGATTATCGAATGAAGGCCGACATCGCTTATTTTAATGGCCATCTATCCATTGAAGGATTTTTAGATTGGCTTGTGGAGGTAAAGAGATTCTTTGAGATTATGTCGGTACCGGAGGAGAAGATGATTAAGATAGCGGCTTTTCGCTTGAAGGGTGTTGGAAAAATGGCTCACATTAAGTATGCAAGTGAAGGAGTTTCGAAGCAGATTCGAAGTCTGAAGAATTCGCAGGAAGCGACCGGTCGCAAGGTATCCAAAAGGTATCAGCGACTGGTCGCAATGTATTCGCGACCGGTCGCCCGCAGTGCTGTTTCGTTTTTCCACGCGTTTTTTAGGTTCCTTTCACATGTGTTGGTTCCCTACCTAATCCCTCGGGCCTCTAAGGTGTGTTATGGGTTCTAGGAGGTCTAGCAAGGTGCTGGAAAAGCTGGAGCACCATTGAATGAGGATTGTTGACTTGTTTCAAAGAGTACCTACCTTATAGCTCTAGATAGGGTGGCTGAAGTTGCAGCTATCAATGCCTAGCCTTTGGTCTGCCTAAGTTGTGGTCCATGTTAGGTAACCAAGGGCAGAACGTGGGAGGAAAGAAGGAGTCTCTTTTGAAGTCCAAAGGCTTGTGTATTAAAGGGAAGAGGAAGCAAGACAACAAGTGTGGTTTTACTTCTCAAGGAGTGGACAAGTAGCTGGGAGCTAATGTGTCCAAGAGAGGTTTAACTTACCAAGGGAGGAAGAGAGAGAGGGCAATCAGTTCAAGAGAGAGCTGAGTTGAGTCTTGAGTAGTCTAGACACCAAAGGGGGGAAACACCAAGAGTTGTGAGAGTGTTCACAAGTGTATCAAAGTGTTGAGCAAGGGGTGAGAGAGAAAAGAGAGCTTGGGAGAGAATAGAGTTCTAAGGGGGTTTCTTTGTAAACCAAAGTTGTAACTTATTCTTTCATTAGTGAATTTCTCAAGAGGATCACCAAGAGGATGTAGGCAATTGCTGAACCTCTATAAATTCTTGTGTCACTTTGTGCTTGGTTGATTTCTAAAGTGTGTGAGTGTGTGATTCATCCATTATTGTGTTTGTCACAAAGTCCATCAACAACAAGATCATTAGGGGAGGGTGAGTTGAGTTTGTTCTCAATTTCACAACAAAGGGAAGTGTGGCTGTATGGTGGGATAATTTGCAGAAGTCACGACAGAGGCAGGCCAAACAACCGGTTAGGACATGGCGTAGGATGAAACAGTTGATGATGGACCGTTTCGTTTCAGTAGATTACGAGCAGCATCTCTATCGCCTCTACCATAATTGTACCCAAGGTAGCAGGGCAGTAGAGGATTATACTGACGAGTTCCTATGGTCCATAATTGTACCCAAGGTAGCAGGGCAGTAGAGGATTATACTGACGAGTTCCTATGGTTGGCAAAGAGAAATTCGTTGAATGAGACTCAAGGGCAGACCGTATCAAGATATGTCAATGGATTGACGACGTCAATACAGGATAGAATTGGGTTACAAGTTTTCTGGGATGTCCATGAGGCTCAAAATATGGCTATGAAGGCACAACAGTTAGAGAAAGAATTGAAAGAACGTGAAACAAACAGAAGAAATCGAGCTATGGCAATAACAATAATTACCAGAGGAAGGCAGCAGATTCTTCTGTTCCTAACAAGGAGAAGAAAGAGGTTCAGCCGACCCAAAGGAATAATTATAAAGGGCAGAATTACAGAGGAGAGAGCTGCCAGAACACTGACATAAATCAGAATCGCACTACTACAATTTTCTCTTGTCCTAGCAACCATCTATGGTCAGTAGAAACTCTATTACTAGCGGAATTTCGTCAGTATTGGCTTCCTGACGAGTGCAGTGGCAAAAATGAGGGTTGTCAGTAATTCTCCCGTCAGTACTACTATTACTGACCAACTTTTGCAACTTATTCGTCAGTAAAGGTCTATCTCTGACACAAGTCATAAAGGACTCCAAATTACTACTGACAAAACAAGTTGCCAGTATTAAACAAGCTTTTGTCAAGATTATTGTCAATTTATTTGTGAGCTGATGCGCCATTAAATATGTTTTTCTTTCAAATGCCTTTTGTTTTGTAATATTATCTATACATTTTCTTTCTTTAAAAATTTAATTGATATACTAAAATTGTAATAATAATTATAAGTACACTATTATAAATGGTCAAAGATTGAACCATACAACAACAATCCTTATAAAATATGATATAAAGTCGATTACAATATTCAAACATTACAAAGGTCTGCCTACATCAGTGTTCAAAAACCTTAGTTGCCTAACCTATACAAAACTATGAAATATTCTACCAGTACTACAAAAGACCCATTGCCTTCTTCTGAATCCAAGGAACCTGATAGGGTTTCACCCCAAGTCCTTCACCACGAACTCTATTATTTGTCTCAAGACCCATTGTCTCGACATAAGCCCTTCTTCGTGTCTCTAAATTATCAGCACATTCATCTTCAATTAATCCCTTAAACTTTTCCTGCATTTCAGCTTAACAAAAAATTATATATATTCAGTTTATCTTCTCCATCCAATTGTGGACATCATATAATAAGCAGCCCAATAAACTCTACAATGACATTATGTATTAAAAATTTAGGACAATAGTCTTCTGGATCTCTACATTTCTGTTTTTCATGTACTTGAACAAATAAAAGAACATAAAGAATAATGAACAAGAAACCATAAATAAATATAACTACCTTTAAAAAACTTTCTAGGTGCTTAAACAAATAACAAGTCAACCAAAACAAAATAAGAGAACAACTCAGACATAAATAAAAGCCCAATACTCTCACTACTACGAACAATTTTATTCAACAATAATCAAAGAACAACCATATAATAGATAATGGAAAAACGGCAACAGACCTGGATTTTAAGTTTCCAAAAAACATTCAACAATCTTGCAATAGATAAATACATACCCCACAAATCAGACTCATCAAACAAACAAAAGAAATAGGAACACAAGTCTCACCAGAACAGGGGCCTTCTTTCAAGAAGAAGAACCAAATCACCCACAACTGAAAAGAGCAAAGAAAACCCCCAAATTTAATCTCCCTGTCAATTTGAACCAGCATATACGTAAATCACTACCACACCATACCTCCAACTCCAATAGCTCGAAGGAAGAAAACGATTTCTTCAATGGAAAAAAAAAAAGAGAGGAAGGAAGAAGGGAGAGTGAGTGACACACAGAGAGCAAAACCAAAAAAACAAAAGAAAAAAAGAGAAGAGATGGTTCGTTTGGAATAGAGAGGGTTTTGAGAGTCACTTTTTTGTAACCAAAAAGTTAAAAAAATATATTTAAGTCTAGTAGGGGCAAAGCAACTTGTCAGTGATAAAATTTGGCTTCCCGCTATCTAAAAATTTGGGCGCCTGCTGTTTTCATTTCCTGCCCTTGAAGCTGCTGGCGCTGTGGCTCGCCAGTAAAAGTAGTAATGACCAAAGATTTCGTCAGTATAATTTAGTCATGACAAATCACTTTACTTAGTCAGTAATGGGTTCTAATACTGGCTGAAATGCTCCTTCGCCAGTATTAGGTGTCAGTATAAGCTAAAATTGTAGTAGTGTCGAAATCAAAGACCAAACCTTGATCCATACGCCAGAGCAACTGGTGATGTCTGTTATAGGTGTTTTCAGCCTGGCCACCGGTCCAATAACTGTCCGAAGCGGAAGCAAGCGAACCTTGTAGAAGGGATCGAAGAAGCTGATGATCACAGTGGAGATTATGATGATGATTATGATGGGGCTGAGTTTGCATATGAAGATAATAATGAGGTTGTGAATTTGATGATGAGTCGTACTGCTACTAAAGAAGACGAAGTGCTCAGCATGGTGCTACAATGAGCTCTCCTTTTGCCTAAGCAAGAAGGGCAGAGAAATAATATATTTCGCTCCTTGTGTCCTGTTGACAACAAGGTGTGTATGTTGATTGTAGACGGTGGTGGCTTTGTGAATTTTGTGTCGCAAAAGCTGGTTGATTATTTAAAACTTCCAACAGAGAAGCGTACGGATCCTCATATGTTAGGTTGGGTGAAGAAAGGACAGTCGGTGAAAGTGACAGAAGTATGCAAGATTCCTCTTTCTATCGGTAAGCATTACAAACATGAGATTTGGTACGATGTAATTGACATGGCCAGCCATGTATTACTAGGAAGGCCTTGGCAGTTTGATGTTGATGCTACCCACAAAGGGCGTGATAATGTATTTATCTTTGAGTGGGGCTCTCGTAAAATTGCTCTTGCTCCTGTTGATCAATATGGAAAATTAGAAAAACCTCAAGCTAGGAGTTCAAATTTTCTAGCTATCTCCAGGAATAGCCACGAGTTTGAAGACATTATTAAAGAAGTTGGATTCATGTATCCAGTTGTACTTAAGGGGCTCACGGTGACAGATGCTGTTATAAGTCACATTCCTAAAGAAGTGCAGGAAATTTTTAGAAAGTTTGAAGATTTGGTTTTTGAAGATTTACCAGAACAACTTCCTCCTATGCGAGATATTCAACATCAGATTGATTTAGTCCTTGGAGCAAGCCTTCCTAATCTACCCCATTATCGGATGAGTCCGAAAGAAAACGTGATCTTGAAGGAGAAGATCGAAGAACTGCTAAAAAAAGGATTTATTCGTGAGAGTATGAGTCCTTGTGCAGTTCCAGTCTTGCTAGTGCCAAAAAAGGATAACACTTGGCGTATGTGTGTTGACAGTAGAGCCATTAATAAAATCACCATCAAGTATAGATTTCCAATTCCGCGGTTGGAGGATATGTTGGATGTTCTTGAGGGTTCTAAGGTGTTTTCGAAAATTGATTTGTGCAGTGGCTATCATCATATTCGAATTAAACTAGGGGATGAATGGAAGACGGCATATAAGAGTAAGGATGGTCTGTATGAATGGCTGGTAATGCCATTCGGATTATCAAATGCACCAAGTACTTTCATGAGACTTATGAACTAGGTTTTGCGTCCTTTTACTGGGTCATTTGTTGTTGTGTATTTTGATGATATTCTGATTTACAGTAAAACCAAAGAAGAACATTTAGTGCACTTGAGACAAGTTCTGGATGTTTTGAAAGAGAATAAACTTTATATTAATTTGAAGAAGTGCCATTCTTTACAAATAAGCAGCTATTTTTGGGGTATATTGTTAGTGAAGATGGAATTCATGTGGATCAAGACAAAGTACGTGCAATCCGAGAATGGCCTACTCCGAAGACTGTAAGTGAGTTATGTAGTTTCCATGGCCTTGCTACTTTTTACAGGCATTTTGTACGAAACTTTAGTACCATTACAGCCCCTATGACTGAGTGTCTCAAGCAAGGAAAGTTTCAGTGGGGTGAAGCACAAGACAAAAGCTTTGCATTGATTAAAGAAAAGCTTAGCACTGCACCGGTTTTAGCCCTGGCCTTGCTACTTTTTACAGGCATTTTGTACGAAACTTTAGTACCATTACAGCCCCTATGACTGAGTGTCTCAAGCAAGGAAAGTTTCAGTGGGGTGAAGCACAAGACAAAAGCTTTGCATTGATTAAAGAAAAGCTTAGCACTGCACCGGTTTTAGCCCTTCCCAACTTTGAGAAGATATTCGAGGTCGAATGTGATGCAAGCGGATTGGGTGTGGGAGCTGTGTTGTCTCAAGAAAAAAGACCAGCGGCATTCTTCAGTGAAAAATTGAGTGAAGCCCGTAAAAAATGGAGTTCTTATGATCAGGAATTTTATGCGGTTGTGCGTGCTTTGAAGCAATGGGAGCATTATCTAGTGCAACGAGAATTCGTTCTTTATACTGATCATGAAGCTTTGAAGTTCATCAACAACTAGAAGAGTGTGAGTAAAATGCATGTAAGATGGGCCACTTTCCTTCAAAAATTTCCTTTTGTGATTAAGCATAAATCTGGATCTCTCAATCATGTTGCTTTTGAGTTGGAGAGCAAACTTGTTGATTACTGTAGCACAAGAGATTGTGGGGTTTGAGTTTCTAAAGGAGTTATATGAAGCTGATTTTGATTTCAAAGAAGTTTGGGCGAAGTGTGATCAGAATCAACCTGTTTCAGATTACCACATTAGAGATGGGTATTTGTTTAAAGGTAACAGGTTGTGCATTCCTAGCTCATCCTTACGAGAGAAGCTTATTCGAGATATTCATGGGGGTGGTTTGAGTGGACACCTTGGCAGAGACAAAACCATCGCAGGAATTGAGGAACGTTATTTTTGGCCTCAGTTGAAGAAGGATGTTGGCAAAATTGTGAGAAGGTGTTATGTATGTCAGGTGTCAAAGGGTCAAGCACAAAATATTGGTTTTTATATGCCTTTACCGATTCCTAACGACATTTGGCAAGACTTGTCTATGGACTTTGTGTTGGGACTTCCTCGAACCCAAAGTGGGGTCGATTCTGTGTTTGTTGTGGTTGACAGGTCCTCTATGATGGCACACTTTATAGCTTCTAGAAAGACTTCAGACACTACTCACATAGCCAAACTATTTTTCAGAGAGGTTGTGCATTTGCATGGTGTACTCAAAACTATTACATCTGATCGTGACACCAAATTTTTGAGTCACTTCTGGATTACCCTATGGAAGCTCTTTGGTACTACCTTGAAACGTAGCAGTACAGCGCATCCACAAACCGATGGCCAGACGGAGGTGACTAATAGAATGCTTGGCAACATGGTTCGAAGTGTTTGTGCTGATAAGTCAAAGAAGTGGGACAATGCCTTGCCTCAAGTAGTGTTTGCTTACAACAACGCAGT